AGATATTGAAGTCCTCTGACTTTATTTCTAGTTTTTAAAATATCTAAAACTGTACATATTGATAGATAAAAGCTACATAAGCAAACATTCTTTGGGGTCCTCATTTTCAAGAGTGTAAACTCTCAAAAAGCTTGAGAATCACTGGTCTACAATAAATCTGTAATAGTTTGGGTTATTTGGGCAGATTGGATGGAAATCTGTCTTTTTCACTATTATGATCTCAAGGCCCAGCACAAAGCTTAATACACAGAAATCTCCCAATAAATGCTTATTCAGCTGTTGTTTCAACAAATATTTGAGTGCCTGCTATCTTATTAGGTTGGTGGAAAAGCAGTAGTGGTTTTGCAATTAAGAATCTAGTTCTTCAGTATTTAGAGCTCATGTGCATATATTCAGTGCTGCTAGATAAGTATCTTCATATACAAATTTGTACGCCATTCCTCAGTAATGCAAATCTAACGAATTTTCCTTAAGGAAAACTTTTATTTTTTAACTTTCTCAAATAGGAGTTTTAGGACAATATAAAGCCAAATATTCATATTAAAGTAACTAACCCTTTCACAAAAGCTGCTCCTAAGTCCAAATATTAAAAGAATAGTTGCCAAAAGCAATTAATTACATACAAGTTTAAAGATAGGCAAAAGACCACCCCCATAATGAATCAGATGTTATAAAAGGAAAATATGTCAAGTCTAGTAGACAGTTAAGGTTCAGAACTAAAGTTCAGCTTATATGTTCCTGTCCAAAAGGGCACGGGACACTAGTTCTCATAAGAAGCTAAAACATTCAGAAGTCAAGCTATAACATGGTAACCAAAGTAGTATATATAGAAAACGTAAGGTTACTCATACACTTTTTGCTCAAGTTGGTTTACCAGCCAGAAAGCTCTAATCCTGAATTTGCAAAATGGTAACTGTTCACTTATCTAACCATCTAATAAACAGATAATGAGTATCAACTACCTCTAAACACTAGAGATACAGTAAAAAACAATGGAGACATAGTCTCTCCCTTCATGGAGCTTATAGCCCACTGATGAAGCCAAACAATCAAATAAGCATGCAAATAACATGAAGTAACAAGCAAGCAATGTGATGAAAGAAACACCAAATTATATAACACATATATCAGAGAGCCTGACCCAGTCTAGGTAGTAAGGAAAGACATTCTGTGCCTAGTTAACAGTCTGCACAAAGGTAATGAGGCAGACGGAATACAGAAACCTGGGTAGCTAGAGTACAGAATAGCGTAAGATAAAGGCTACAGAAGGAGAGAAGAGTCAGACCTTACAAGACCCTGTAGGCCATTTAAGGACTGGAGATCCCAAGACTCTCACAAGACAACCACAACTGTAGCACACTACAGGAATTTCTCCTAGGTGAGATCAGCACTCAACTCTCAACCAGGTCCCCTGAAAAACAGCATGATTTCCACACATACTCACATGTCAATGCCTGAGGACAGGACCAGAATAATCAGGAGAGGTACTCTGGCTTCCACAATGCAGATCATCATGCAGACAGAGAAAATGCATTTTTATCTGGTTGGTTTTAAAGGCCCATGATGAAATAAACCTAAGAAAAATGGAGAATAATAATTGAGATAAAAGTAAAACGAATCAGAAAGCAGAAAAACAGCTGGAGGTAAGAGATACAGGTTTAACAAAGTCTAACAATAAGTAAAATGTTCACAAAGAGGAGACTGGATGAATAAATTATGACACATATATTTAACAGAAAAATCTACAACCATAAAAAAGCATGCAAAAACTCTTATGGAACAATCACCAAGATACACTGTTAAATGAAAAGCCAAGGTGTTGAACAGTAAACACAGTATACTTCACTTATTAAATAAAAAGAGAAACATACTGTATACATATTTGCTTCCGTAGGCATGGAAGAACACTGGAAAGATAGTCACAAAACTAGTGACATTGGTTATCTTTTTTTTCTTTTTCTGACTCAAACACATCTTCTGAGACACTTGTTATCTATGCAGAGGGAAACTGATGGCTTGAAGATGGGATGTGGGGAGGAGGAATTTTCTCCTTTTTGAATTCCAAGCCACACAAATATATTACCTATTAAAAGTTTTTTTTAAGTTAATATTCAGTATGATTTTAGAGGAGTACATATGAATATTTTAATGAAAAGGAACATTTTTAAGGAAAATAAAAATTACCAAACTGACTACCAAAGGAATGCGGGGGTGGGGGGGAAGATAGGAAAAGTCTTCTTACAAAGAATCCTGTATGTCAAAACTTTCTAGTACATATTAATAATCTAGCCCCCACAGGCTCCATGAGATAAAACCTAACACTTATTGAATATGTCCTGTGTGCTATGTACTGTATCAAGCATTACATGTATTTGCAGCTCATCCTTACAATTTCTCTGAGATAGGTGTCCTCATCACCTCTATTTTACATATAAGGAAACTGAAGCATACCCAGTAAATAACTCCAGAGGTCAGACTCTGCAACAACTATCCTACATTAATTCTATATTAATAAACTGGAAAACCTTAAATAAATGCCTCATTTTCTACGGAAACAGAAATTACTTGAAATCTGTTTGACTGGAAGTGTTCTTCCAATGCCTAAGGAACAAATTATTCTTAGTCTGCACAAATAGTTACCAGGACATTAAAAAGAAAAAGACGAGGGCTTGCCAATTCATTGAACTAAATTAGAAGAGTAGCTTTCAGGAACATATTTCTTATGATGAAAATATGTTACAAGAATAGCTGTCTTGTATGGGACATTCACCCTGTGCCAGGCACTGGGAAAAGTGTTTTATAAAAGATCTGGGTGCCACTTGGAAAACAATCTGGCAGTTCTTCAAAAGGTTAAACATAGAGTTACCACATTACCCAGTAATTCTACTGGTAGGTAAAATTAAAACATGTTCACACAAAAACTGGCACATCAATGTTCTTAACAGCATTCTTCATAATAGCCAAAAAGTGGAAACCACCCAAATGCCCATTGGCTGATAAACAAATAAATAATATATGGTATATCCAAACAATAGAATATTATTTGACAATAGAAAAGAACAAACTTCTAATACATGCTACAGCACAGATGAAATTTGAAAACAGTATGCTAAAAAAAAAAAAAAAAAAAAGGCAGTCACAAAAACTTATACATTGTATGATTACATTTACATGAAATGTCCGGAACAGGCAAATCTAGAGACAGAAAGTAGGTGAATGGTTGCCCAGGTCTGGAGGAAGAGGGAAACGAGGAGTGAAGGGCTGTTTTTTTTTAGGGTGATGAAAATGTTCTCAGGTTGATGGCACTGATAGCTGTTCATCTCTAAACACTGAACTGTACACACTGTAAACAGGTGAATTGTATGGCAGATGAATTACATCTTTATAAGGCTGTTATTAAAAATATATCTATCTAGGTGTATTTTCCCAACAGCCTTAATGAAACTAAAACTAATATACTTACTTTGTAGATGAGAAATCTGCAGCTGAGAGAGGAAGCTATAGACTCACAGTCATAATCTAATTAGTTGAGAAAGCCAGAATTCAAATTTGACTTTTTCTGTCTATATTGCTTTACTATCTCCCAACACAATCCTATGTTAAGTGCACTGCAAATCTTCAAGAAATGGCCCCCTTTTTTCTTAGAAAACAAACTTATGACTAACAGTTTCATGAAGGCAGCCTCGTAAGAACAATTAATTCATATACAGTTGAAAATCTCAAATTCAAAAAAATCAGAAATCCAAAACACTTCTAGTGTCCAGTATTTCAGATAAGGAACACTCAACCCATACTGCTATTAAGCATCTCAAACCTAAAGTCAGAGGGAAGCTGTCCATTTAAGAAGCTAGCAAATGGCTTTCAAGTGCATCCTACTTCAAGAGTGCCCTGGAGAATAAAACAAATAATATATATAATTTATTAAACTTTTACAATGGGTAAGGCCTGGCACCAAGCACCTTATGTGAATTATTATGTTTAATTATTATAACAACTTAATAAAGTAGATACTATTATTATCCACGTTTTACAGATGAGACACAAGCCTTCAAAGGTATCTTTTCCCAGTTACAAGCTAAAGGGTGGTAGAGCTAGAAATCAAACCCAAATCTGATGGATTCCTGAGCCTGAGCTCTCAGCCACCACTGGGTACATTTCTAGGCTATTAAATTTGAAAGCCATAATGAAATGGATCGTTCTTGAAAGGAAGAGAGATAATAAAAACTTGGCAAATGTCAGGGGAGTACTTTCCTCAAAAAGTACTCCAAGCCTTTGCCATTTATAGGCAACTTTCTTCATACTTCCAAAGAACAAATAATTCTTATGCTTTACAAATTGTGTAATTTCAGCAAAAAGAGACAAGTGTTTCATTTGAACAAAGCACATGGATCTTCAACTCCAAAGATAGCTTACTTTGAAATAAGAATGTATATGTACCAGGAATGTGTCTAAGCACTTTATAATTGTTAGCTTTTTAAATCTGCATGACAACTATCTAAAGTAGGTACTACTAATAACCCCTATTTTACAGATGAGGAAGGGGAGGCACAAGGAGCGTAGATGACTGGCACAAAGTCCCATGGCTAGAAAGTGGCCAGGATTAAAAACCAAGGCATCTAGTTCTACCCTCCAGCATTTAGTCTGCTCAACCAAATCTCAAAAAAGAATATGATATCGCTAATATATGATTCACTGGACTCCGTTCATATGCATTATCCCAACCTGACAACCAAGAAGATAGATAAATTTACTGCCTATTGCAAGATGAAGACCATGAGGCTGAGTTGCCCAAATACACCCAGTTAAAACATATCAGAACCAAAATTGTATTAAATCCATGTCTTTCTGACTCCACATCATACCACTAGTCACTATGTCATGAAATACTATGATAAGGGTCAGCAAACTACAGCAAGCAGGCCAAATCCAGTCTGCTGTGTTTTTATACAGTTCACACAGCCAACATACAAATATTCAGTTGAATCAAAAATAGATGGTTGTATTTCATGAGAAAATTAAATGAAACCTAAATTTCTATGTTCATGCATAACACTGGCTGTGTTTTATTGGACCCAGATACACCTATTTATTTACAGCTGCTTTCACACTATAAGGACAGCTGAGTAATTTTGACAAGACATTAGTATATCCCACAAAGCCTGAAATATTCACTATTTGGCCTTTTACGGAAAAGATTTGCTGACCCTCTTTGTTATTAAATTTAAAACTTGTATTATAATGGAGGAGTACACAAAAAGTACCCCCCAAAAAGGAAGGAAAAGCATGGCCTCAAAAGGTGACTGGAGTAGGAATGGAAACTAACTTCCAACTTTCAAGGAACAAACAATGTCTCTGTTTCATAAAGTGTTCCAAGGCCTAGAAAACAGTGGAAGGCTTCCCAGTTCATTTTAATTAACTGGTTCACAGAGGTTTACAATCCCTAAGCTGTTTTAATTGGAAAGAACTCCCACAATGGAAATAACAACAGCTGGCAGTTATGGAACTTTCCCTATGCTGCCAGGTGCTGTGGTTAAGTAGAAGATTTCTATTTAATCTTCCTGACAAGCAGAAAGGTAGGATGCCATTGTTATCCAATTCCAGGGATGAAACCAGGGCCTCGGGATGTTAAACAAATTGCCCAATGTTCCACATCTAATAAATCCTCAGCACTCTAACCCTCATATCTGCCCCCCAGAGATTACAGTCTTAACACCATTTGCTTTTAATCTAATAAATCTGTAAATATAAGGAAATACATAATTTCCTGAAAAAATATAAAGTACCAAAAGTAATTATCAAAATAATCTTGGTGAGCTGTATACATTTCCTACCAACTCCCAGTAAGCAAATAAATATGTGTCAAAAATTGATCTGGATCATAAGAAAACAGACAAGTTTTAATACCCTAGCCCACTGGGTTGAAGTAGCACTCATCTCTAACTCATCACAGCTCTCCCCAAACTTAAAAAAAAAAAAAAAAATCCATGCAGGATGATAGCTAACATTTTTAGCTGAACTATATGCCAGTCACATTTCTAAACAATTCGCATGCAATAACTCATTTAAACTAGGAATAAGTATCCCCTACAGACTAAGACATAGGGAGGTTGAATGGTTGTCCAAAATGACGCAAGCGAGAGAGGCTGGATCCAAATCCAAGCCAGCAAGTGAAAACACTCGGCATCCTTAACAGACTTCCAGCTAATAACTCTGAAAATCCTAATTAAGCATGTTCAATCCAGGAAAAAAGCAATTGGCAAAACTGAGCCAAATTTAAGGGGAGAAAGGGGTGGGTGGTATACCTACAGCTTTCAATGTCTGCAGTCTCCACAATCCACTCAGCGAGGCAGTTCTGAACCAAAACTATCCTCCTCTAAAAGAGGTGAGACCGAACTCCACAAAAACGTCACAATATGGATGAACTTCAAAAGTATTATGCTAAGTGTAAGAATCCAGCCGCAAAAGATCATGAATCGTACAATGCCGTTTTCATGCAACGTCCAGAAAAGGGAAATCTCAGGAGGCAGAAAGCGGGTTAGTGGTTGCCTGGGGCTGATCCTCAAATGGGCTCCGGGGAACTGGGGATGGTGGGATTGGTTGCTATCAAGACTCTAAAAGTGGATTGCGGTGATGGCTGTGCACCTCCATACGTTTACTACAAAATATCGAGTTGTACACTGGGCACATTTCGACGTAAACTGCATCCCCGCAAAAACGGTTTGAAAGAGGCCGGGAACCCGAGCAACCGCTCCTTGTGGAAAGCCATGTCCTATACTCCGTGCTAGGCGTCTCACAGGTTTTACCCCCGTCAAATCGATGCCAATAGTGGGAAATGCCAAGTTCTGAGAAATGCTGGCGTCGAACGGGCGCACTAGGGGTCAGGGGATGGGCCGCAGACTTCAGCCGCCGTTCCTGGAAGGTGCTCGCCTTTTTCGAAAACCCCAGCGGCGAAGCTGGAAGCCGTCGGTGGCGCCCGGCAGGTAAGAGGCCACGTCCCGCGGGAGAGTCCTGTGACCGTCCGGCCTCCCCCGGCTGGCTCTCCGCGCGAGGCCAGCAACCTGGCGCGGAATGGAACGCCCAGCACTGCCGTCTGGGGGATATCAGAGGTATCACCCCAAGGGAGGGAAAGCCCATGTGCCGAAGAGGCCTGACTGCGCGAATCCCCCGACCTGAGTGAACCCAAAGAAAGGCCAAGCATCCCGCCCGCGGCGGCCCAAGATGGCGCCAGAGCCCGAGGCCCTCTGCGCCTGCGCCCCGCCGGCCTTCCGGTCTAGCCGGTTGACCGTTGTGGTTTCGTTTCTCGGTTCCTCTGAAGGGGTTGGGCAGGAGAACCATGGCCTCCACTGACTACATCCTCAGAGTCGCAGCTCTCGAACTGCAGTCACAGAGAAGGGTTCCGGGAAGACCCAGGCAGAAGCATTTCCGGTCAACGAGGCCGTGGGTAGTGCGCATGCGCGCAGTGCAGGTGCCTGAAGCAAGAGCCCCTGGGAAACTGTGAAGTGACACGAGCCCTGCCCTCAGGGAGCTCACTGCTGACTGGGAAAGAGATAGGACCTCCGTCAGCGATGCCCAAAGGGCTGTGATAGAGCTTGGAGAAATGTGCATTTGGACACATTATTTTTATATTGTCATCTACACAGTGAGGTAATCTTTTAAAAAGTTTTAGAATTATATTAAATTTCAGTTTTAGAATCATATTTCATTATATTTCGAATAAATTTTGTATGGGTTTTTTGTTTTTCCGGTTTGAGACAGGGTCTCGCTGTATCACCCAGGCTGGAATGCAGTGGTGTGATCACAGCTCACCCAGCCTCAACTTCCCAGGCTCAAGTGATCCTCCCTCTCAGCCCCCTGAGTAGCTGGGACTACAGGCACACACCATTGCACGCAGCTAATTTTTTTTTTTTTTTTTAAATAGAAATGGAGTTGCACCATGTTGCCCAGACTGATCTCAGACTGCTGGGCTCAAGCAATCCGCCTGCCTCGGCCTTCCAAGATTTCATTATGTTGTGGGGGAAAGATATATGATTCTATGACCAGAATGAAAGCTCTGAAAGGACAGGCACTGATGAGTGTAGGTGCATTATCCTCTGCGCCTTGCATGGTAATTGGCATGGAATGGATGCTCCTCCAGTGTTTGTCAAATGACTGAATGGAATCTTTGAAAAAGGCACCCCGAGTTACTGTTAGTGGACAGAGTCCCTAATAATTAGCTACTGTTAATCGAATAGATTGGCTGATGACACCAACTTTTGATTTGAATCAAAGTGACCTAGTGTGAAAAGTAGGGTTATCAGATTTAGTAAACAAAATATACAGGATAACCCTGTCAAATGTGATTTTCAGTTAAACTAAACAATTTGTTAGCATATGTCCTATTTGGGTACACTGGGTGTCCTATGTTTTATCTAGCAACTTAGAAGACATGTTAAGGTGGGGAGGAAAAATGACTGTGTTCCTCTTAGAAAAAGAACTGGAAGACAGCTAGGCACAGTGGCTTATGCCTGTAATCCCAGCACTTTGGATGGCGGAGGCTGGCGGATCCCCTGAAGTCTAGAGTTCGAGACCAGCCTGGCCAACATGGAGAAACCCCGTCTCTACTAAAAATACAAAATTAGCCAGGTGTGGTGGCATATGCCTGTAATCCCAGCTATTCGAGAGGCTGAGGCAAGAAAATCACTTGAACCCAGGAGGCGAATGTTGCAGTGAACTAAGATTGCACCACAGCACTCCAGCCTGGGCAACAATGAAACACTCTCTCTCTGTCTCTCTCTCTGTCTCTCTGTCTCTCTCTCTCTCTCTGTCTCTCTCACACACACACACACACACACACAAACACACACACACACACACAAACTAGAGGAGAAAAGAAAACAGTACCTGAAATTTGTAAATAAGTACCTCCAAACAATTATAAAGCAGATCAGAAAACTACACTTGATAAACTGTGATTTATAAAGTTTGTGCTAAGTGTTGTATTTACATCATCTTAATTGAAACCTCCTACACAGTAGGATGATTAATTTATAAGTCCAGAAAGCAGCTTAGAGATAGAAGGCCACCCTTGTCCAAGTTCTAGTATTTTCACTGTCACCCCCAAAAATATTTGTTGCCTCCTGGTGGCTCACGCCTGTAATCCTAGCACTTTGGGAGGCTGACACAGGCAGATTGCCTGAACTCAAGAGTTCGAGACCAGCCTGGTCAACATGGCAAAACCCCGTCACTACTAAAAGGACAAAAAATTAGCCAAGTGTGGCCATGCTACCCTGTAGTCCCAGCTACTCGGGAGGCTGAGGAGGGAGGATTGTTTGAACCCAGGAGTGGGTGGTTGCAGGGAGTCGAGATCATGCCACTTCACTCCTGCCTGGGTGACAGAGTGAGACTCCGCGTCAAAAATAAATAAATAAAATAATAATTATTATTTATTGAGAACTGACTGTGTGCTTCTGGTCCAAGATTTCTATTCCACATAATCTGCCTCCAGAGCTGGAAAATTCCAGTGTCTGACCATTCCTCAGCCTCCCCGCTTCCCCACTCCAGCTGCTGTTTCCATGGCAACAAACTGAACCTGCCTCTGTAGCTAACAAGAGCTAAGAGTTTTTGAAAGGGAATAAGCCAGAACAATTGACGTCAACCTAGCCTGGCTGGGGGATGGTGAGGACTGCTTGAAGCCCTAAAGCCTTCTATTCCTCCGTCAATGGTTTGTGCAAGAATTTGTATGCGTTAACATCTGTCCTTGAATGGAGACTCTGCAAAAGAATAAAAGTTGTCTGTGTAAACCTTTACAGACCCCATGAATTCCTAAGTTTTCACTTCAGGAACTACTGCAAACACTGGTGACATAAACTTAATGCATCCTTGCCATTTATTAAAATGTATTTAGTCATTATTCAGGTAATAATGACAGGGAGAGGGACTTCTACCTATCAAACAGTGCTAGATCCCAAGGATATAATTACTTCCAAAACAGACACAGTCTCTCTTTTCCTGTTTCTCAGAGTCCAGCGGAAGAGACATTTATTTGCTTATTCTTCAGTATATTGAGGAACCATATGTGTGGGACATGTATTAGGGACCGGGAGATCCACAGATGAGTTCAAAACAAATCATTCCACCGCATGGAAAGGATCCTACTGAGGTCAGACATTAAATAGATAATCACAAAACAGCAAATATTTACTGAGCAGCTACTGTGGTGTCAGGCACTGTTTTAGGCAAGGGTACAACAGCAGAGAACAACATAGGCTTGGTATCTGTTCTCATGGGACTTATTTTCTGATGGAAAGAGAGGGAAAATCTATAAATGAATTCATCTGCCTTTAGTTCGAAGACACAGGATACTAAACTCAAATTGACTTAAATAAAAAGGAGAATTTATTGGCCTAAGTAACTGACAATGCCAGAGATAGAACTGATCTCGTCGGTATTCACGAATGTAATTTACATTGCAGATCTCTAGTTTTTCTGCCCAACACTCCCTTCCCAGGCTTCCTGCCACAGGAGCCTTCTTTCCTATGGAGAACTAGTTAGCAACTGACCCAGGTCTGGTCTCATCATGCTGTTGCCGTGCCCACAGTGATTGGTTCAGGAATGGGCACATGACTCCAATGGGCTAGTCAGAGACTCATTACCTGGGACTTCTCCTTGGGAATTATGAGAAATAACATTCCCTTTGCTGGGATGCTAAACTGGTCTCAAGTATGCCTGGCCTATAGCCACCTTTTCTCCCTATTGGGATAAAGCAAGAAAATTAGAGCATCCCACTGTGTGTTTTTAAGCTTCCACTAAATAATGCATGTCATGTGCTTAGCACATAGTAAATTCTCAATAAATGTTAGCCAGTGTTGTTAGTGATTTACAAAGGAAAGACTGAGAAGAAATTGTTTGCAGTGACGGAAAGATTGTGGGTTTGTTAACTCTTTCAAAATAAAGATAAATCAGCAGGGTTTTTGGAGAGCATGGAATGAGACCATGGAGGTCCATGGTGTAGAGGAAAGTTTCCTCCAAGCCACGGCGAGGTTTTATGAGCTGTCCAGGGTTCACTGAAGAAGACACTTGTCTGGATTCAAAATGCTTGCACCAATCCATGCAGACATTCACCAACCCCTTCCCTGGGTAAGGTTCCGTAGAAGAGAAGGTGCGCAAGGCATGATCATAGCCATTGAGGACCTTATACTCAACTGGGGTAGCAGAGAAGTGAAGAACCAGTAACGGTAAGGCCAGAGGAGTATGGGGCAAGTCTGGGTCTTTCTGCCTCTCAAATCCATCACTTGCGTCTCCAACAGAAACCTTGGTTTGTCCACACCTGTCTCCCACTGCCTCCGTCCCCACGCCACCGTCCTTAGCTACTGACTTTCTATCATCCCTCCCCTGTTCAAGAATGACCGTTTCCTTGTTGTGTCTGCTGCCTCACTGCCCCTCTCCCATATGTGCTTTGCATACAGCCAGTATCCCCTTTCCAAAATCCATACTGGCCATGAGTACATCGGGCTGCCTGGGAAGAGCCAGACCCCAGCGGGAAGCTGCAGAAACTGTCAAGGCAGGCAAAGCCACGGGCCTTCCTCTGTCCGCACTCTGAGTGGGAGCAAGGAGGGGGGCCACAGAAGGTAAGTCAGCCTCCAGGGGAGGCTGCATCTGCTCATCCCCTCTCTCTCCTCTGCCTCTCTAGAGACCCCACCCTTCTCAGGGAGTGGGTGCAGCAAGGGGAGAAGGGCCCTGAGATGCTCATGACCCTGACCTGCTGGGTCAGCCTTTCTTCCTTTCTTCCCTCTCTGGAATTGCCTTTTTTCTTCTCGGAGGGTGGAGGCCCGTGGCTTTGCCCGAAATTCTTTGCCTACTCACTGAACACATAAACCTGTTCCCTGTCGGTCGCCCCAGGCAGAGACAAAGCTGCAGTTCTTAAGTGCTCCTGTCTGCACCAAGTTCATCCACTCAATCTCCTATCACTGCCTTTTTCTTTTTTTTTTACCTCATTTCTCTTTTTTTGTGATGAGAAGCTTCATTTATTATAATTCCAAACTGACAACCCAATTGTTCATCAATTGATTAGATAAAGAAATTGTTTTATATTTTTGCAGCCAATATTCCTCGACAATAAAAAACAACAAACTATTGGCAGATGCATCATCATGTTTAAATCCCCAAAAGCTGGGTGTGGTGGCTCACACCTGTAATCCCAGCACTTTGAGAGGCCGAGGTGGGAGGATCACTTGAGCCCAGGAGTTTGAGACCAGCCTGGGCAACATAGGAAGACCTCATCTCTACAAAAATATTAAAAAATTAGCTGGGTGTGGTGGAGCATGCCTGTAGTCCCAGCTCTTGGGAGGCTGAGGTGGGAGGACGGCTTGAGCCCAGGAAATTAAGGCTGCAGTGAGCCATGATTGCTGCACT